GGCAATAATTTGGTTTCAGTTTATTAGATTACTATAATCATATAATGTATTATCTGAATGTTTTATTAACTATGGTATGTAAAACCTGACAATTTTAATAACATCTATGACAAATATACACTTTCTAGTCTTTATATTTTTTCTAACCTGTTCACTAAACACACTTTTCCAGCAGAAACTTCTAAAATTCTAAAATTAGGGACGCCTGGGTGGCTCAGTTGGTTGGACGACTGCCTTCGGCTCAGGTCATGATCCCGGAGTCCTGGGATCGAGTCCCGCATCGGGCTCCCAGCTCCATGGGGAGTCTGCTTCTCCCTCTGACCTTCTCCTTGCTCATGCTCTCTCTCACTGTCTCTCTCTCTCAAATAAATAAATAAAATCTTAAAATAAAATAAAATTCTAAAATTAATTTTCACTGCTAATCTTTAAAAAGGCAAAACGGGTAAGGAAATTCTAGATGAAAAGTTCAGTAAGCAGGCTTACTTACAATAGACCAGAATCTAAGAAACCCACAATAACTATGTCTCCAACTGCTAATCAGGCTCACTGTCACCTCAATGTACTGTGTCCAACATACAACCTACCTCCTCTATCCTCTCCACAATATACTATCAACAAATATGCTTCACGTATACTGTGATACACCTCAACAAGACAGAAACAAAAACAAAGATTCTTCTTGACTTCCTTACTCTGGCATGGCATCAAGGCATTTGTCATAGCGTTATTATTTTATCAGACACTTAGATGAAAAACCTCCAAATTCAGGTTCATATTAGCTCCTGCCTGGGTTATTTTAACAGACTCCTAATTTGTCTCCCCATTTCTAGTCTATCCACTCTTGAATCTGACAAAAATTAGCAGCTAGCCAGCTTAAATACCACTTTAATCATAAGACAACTTTGTGCAAGAATCTCAAAAGGACTTTTATCCTATGAGCAGTGGAAAGCAAACTATAATGGTATTCAAAGTCCTTATCTTCTGCTTCTGTTCAATGTGAACTCTCTCTGCAATCAGGCTGCTCTATCACCAGCTCCTATTGATGACCTGTTCAAGCTGACCTCTCACCCTCACTTCCCTGTTAATGCAAATTCATCCTCCCAGCCTGCTCAGCTGAAAAGCTACTGTGGTTTTCCATAACCAGTACAGCTGCAAATAAATTCTTTACCTGTAGAATTTCAACAACACTCACAAACTGACCCATTGATTAGGCACTAAATCATGTTGCCTCCTACTGTCAAGTAATTATATATCTATGATCTAATTTCATTAAGTAGAGCTAATCCCCTTATGGGGCCTTTATATTTGTTATGCTTCTCAGAGCCCCTGCCACACAGCTTGAAACCTGGTAAATGTTCATTTAATATGTGCTGAACAATGAATGATCTGCCTCTTTAGTTGCTGTATAAAGTCAAATATACCTATAATTTACAATGTTCCTCTAAGCCTTTTTTCTAAAAAATGAATTATTATTTTACGTACATTCATGTATCAGTGATGCCCAAGACCATCCCCAGGTTGAGGGATCCATTAGGAAGACTCATAGAACTCAGCATATAGTCGTATTCATGTCTAAGATTTTTTTTTTTTTTTTAATAATCTCTACATGGGGCTCAAACTCACAACTCCAAGATCAAGAGTTGCATGCTCCACCATCTTAGACAGCCAGAAGCCCCATGGCTAAGATTTATTATAGTGAAATGATACAAAGCAGAATCAGTAAAACCTACTAAAAGGTCCATGGACCAAAGTCATGGGAAACCAAGTAGAAGCTTCTAAGAGTCCTCTCCCAGTAGAGTCACCCAGAACTCAGTTTCTCCAGCATTGAATTACAGGAACACATATTGTCTACCAAGGAAGCTTATTTGGGGCTGGTCGTACAGGCACTCTCCCCCTGGAACAGACCAAAATCACATTGTTTGTAGTCTCGGCACAGTGAGACACTCAAAAAAGTTTTACATCAGTGTAGGGAACTGATTCTCAGATGCCAGCAAAAACAGTGTAAGCAGGTCTTTCTAAGAAAAGTAGTCTTGGGCCTGCTATGTTAACCCTTTTCTATGTAGTTAATTTCATATTTTTAAGGGAGAAATGTTATAGTGTTAACCATATTTGATTTATAAGAGGCATATAAAGTGTTTTTTTTTGGGGGGGGTTGGCAACAAGTTTTTTTATCGTAAAGATTTAAGATTTAATTAATTTATTTATTTTAAAGAGGGAAGAGCAAAGTGCCAGGACAAGAAGAATCTACAGTGAGCATGGAGACAGATCGGGGCTTGATCTCAGGACACTGAGATCATGACTTGAGCCGAAATCAAGAATGGGACACAACCGACTGAGCCACCTGAGTGCCCCTTATATATATATTTTTTAATTAAAATCTAGCATTTAATCAGAGATGCAATGCCTAGACTGGCATCCAAGAATTAAGTTATGCAATTTAAAAATAATTCATAACCTTAGGTGTTTCAATTTTTTTTTCTTGTAAAAATGAGATCTTTTTCAAACCAACACTCTTATAGTTGTCAGAATAAAGGAATTAAGTATCAATATCTTAAAGGAAGCAAACCCTCTTAGACAAGCTCTTTGTCTTCTCTTTAAATGTTGATTAGATGTAGGCACCTGGATGACTCAGTCAGTTAAGTGTCTGCTTTCTACTCAGGTCATGGTCCCAGGGTCATTGGATCAAGTCCCACACTGGGCTCCTTGCTTTGTGCTGAGCCTGCCTCTCCCTCTGCCTGACACTCACCCTGCTTGTGTGTACTCTCATGAACTCTCTCTCTCTCTCTCTCTGACAAATAAATCTTTTTTAAAAATGTTGACTGGGTGCTAGAGCACTGTGAGAGCAGTTTCCAGTACATCATCTTCCTAAAAATCCTCACAGCAACCCTATATGCCAGTGATGGTTTTTATTTTATAGATGGAAATTGAGAGGCTGAGCAATCCACCCAAGTTTATAATGGAGCTGGGATTCAGGTTCAGATTTGCCTCATTCTAAATCCTTGCTCTTAGCTTTATTTACACCAATTACCTCTAACTAACAAGGCACAGATTCCTTATTATGAGTCATTTCCTTCCAAACTGTAGGGATTTTTGTTTGTTTGGCTATATAGAGCACTATTCTTAACCTTACTGATTTTTATTAAGGCCATATTTTTGTTGGAAGAGAAAGGGGTAAATTGAACCCAGAAAACTCTGTTTTTTCCAACTCTTGCAAATGAGAAATCAAATTACACCCCTTGCTTATTAAAACTATTAGGAATCTCCCCATTCAGCACAACACATAATTTTCTCCTTCATCTGGCATCAATCTGTTTGAAATCAGGCAGACCTGTATCAAGATTTTGACATTTTACTTACCAGATCTGCAGGCCTTGGTTAAGTTGAGCCTTCTGAGACTCAGTTTATTCATCCACAAAACGGGAATCCCTACCTTACAGGTTAGCTATCAGCATGAAATAAGGTAATATACTTAAAGGACCCAACCTAAATGTATTTGCTTAATAAATGGCCGTGTGCAATACTAGAATAACTTGATTTGTGAGTAGCAAGCCAAATCAATAATCTGAGCGAGAAAGAGGTAAGAAAGAGGTACCCTGACCACAAGGTGTCACCACTGACCCAAAAGAGCTGGTCTAACAGCCCAAAGTGGCCAGGTGGGACCCGGAAAGAAAAGGGTAAGACCCAGGGTAAGACAGTCATTTGCACCCACAGGACATTCAAGAATTGGTTTTGGCTTGTCCACACTTGAGGAGCTGGTACAATATTTGCTGTACCATTTTAAGTTACACTGTTCTCTCACCAGTGTGTTAAAAATGATTGTAGTGCAATTAATTAGCTGGATAACCACAAAAGATTTGGCAGCACAGTTTAATCTTAAAAAATATCCTCGGGTAACTGTTTTTTTAATTCTGAAAGTCGATAACGCTTTATATATCCTTTGCTTTGGCCAACTAGCCATTTACATTTTCTGGCATCTATAGGCTTCAGCGTTGCCACCACAGACAATTTTCTGACCTCAATTCCACAACCCATCGACCTTATGGGTTTACACTAATAGGGATGACAGGTAAAAAGAAAGAATATTTCTAGGATAAAAATAAAGTCTCTGAGTCGCAAATTTAGGCAAAATAAGCATTAACTGTCCATCTCTTCCCTTGATCTCAGGAACTTTAAAATTCATTTTTTAAAAATTCCATAAATCTCCTGTTTTCTTAAGGAAAACTAACCTAAGGGTAATCTGTCAACTTGCCAAACAGACCTTAAGTGACTCAAGCAACACTATCATCCTTGGCTTCATTCTGTAACCTGCCAAGACTCTCCCGGAGAGTGCCCAGGGCCTCATTTCAAAATGAGGGCAGAACTGGGCTCTCCTGGTTCTAAGTCCTTCACACTGAGAGCCACTAGTGGCAACCTCAAGACTGGTAATTCAGTGAGTGTTAGCGAGTAACTGGAGACGCAACTCCTATGAGGCACAAACTGTTGTCTAGTCTGCCAGGAACACTTGACTCAAGTCAAGCCTGATCGGGCCTACCGTGGTTGCATCCTGGGCTTCTGAGTCCCCGAGTAAGCACCAAGAGAAAAGGAGTTAGGCTAAACACATGTTTCTGTCCAGGGCCAGGGCTCTTGAAACTCAAGCAGTTTGGGTTCTTTTTGGTTTTAACAATTCGAGTTCCACTTTGCATTTCGCAAATATGAAGATGTCTTAAGAGAAACCAGAAGTATTCTCTCCCTTCTGGCCATGGCTCCCATTCCTAGAGCACTGAGGAGGGAAGGCGCAGATACCAGGAACCATCTGGAATCAGGAGACCAGGAGCCGAGCCAAGCCCAGCCGAGATGGACCCATTTGCGAAGCACTTTGTGCAGATCAATGAACTCCTGATTTCAGACCGGTCTCTAGAGAAAGAGAAGAGAGCAAATGGGCCAAGGAACGACAAGCTGCCCATCGAAGAAACCCCTGCGGGGCGGGCGCAGCGGCTCGCGGGGCGCGGAGGGCGCGTTACCTGGGGGACTCTGCGGTGAAGCTGCCGCCGTCCAGCAGCCGCATCTTACAGAAGAGGACCCCATTGACGAAGGGCACCGAGGAGAGCTCTTCCAGCTCGAAGTCCACCTTAAACTTAAACTTCTTCTTCTTCATCATCATGAGCGCCAGACGCCGGCGAGCGGGATGCGGGGGCGGCCCCAAGGGGCGCGCGGGCCGGCGCCGCCGCCTCAGCTCGCCGGAGCCCCGAGCCCGCGCAGCCCCATGGCCGGGGCCGCGAGCTCCGCGCGGGGGCGCGGCCGGAGGGCGCTGCGGGCCGGCCGGAGCCGGGGCAGGGGCCGCAGCCGCCGCCTCTCGCGGCAGCCCTGGCCGGAGCGCGGCGGCGCGGACCCTGCCCGCCCGCGGGGAGCGGTCGTGCTGCAGCTCGCCTAGGCTGTGGGTGCCCTTTCGGTGTGCAGCTGGCCGCCGCCGCCGCCCGTCTGAGAGCTGGGAAAGGCGAAGACTGGAAGACCGCCGCTGCCGCCGCCGCCTCAGAGCCACGGGGCCCAAGGCGCCCCCAGTGGTGGCGCCCAGCACCGCACCGCGGGGCGGAAGCGAGAGGGCGGGCGAGGAAATTCGGGGCGGGCGGGCGCTTCTCCGGGAAACTGACCCACGACGGCAGTTAGAGCGTCACGCCTCTCTGGGGTTAAAAAAAGACAAACCCAACCAAAAAGGAGCTTCCTTCTACAGCTTCCTCTCGGCCTGGTTTCAGTTTTTGCTCCGCCTCCTGTTTCCCCTCCCCCTCGAGATTTTTTTTTCTCTTGGGTTTGAGAGTCATGGGTTAATAGGGCTAATCAGAATCTCCACGACGTTGTTTTCGTCAAATTGAAATCTTAAAACTAAAATATGGTTTAGATACTCTAAATTCACAAGGCTTCTAATAAATGAGGACGAGGTAGGAAAAAGGAAAGGGATTAAAATGTGTTGAGGGTCTGCCAGGTGGCCAGGCACTGCACTGCTTTAGGCATTTTCTCTTACTTATACTTTAATTCCTGTCCCCCAGGATAAAAGAGTACAGGAGGGGTAAAAACGATACCTTACCTTTTTAAAATACGGCTGTCCATAACGGAGAACTGAAAAGCCTGAAAATAAAGTCTCCCTAAGATGCAGAGCAATTACCTTACTTCCATAGGCTTGTGTATGTTATTTCAATATAGGTTGCCCACTTGGTTACATAAAGTTAGTTTTTTCAGACTGAGTTATTGCCCTTTTAACTCAAGATTGCCACTAATCTCTGAAAGCGTGTAACTGCAGAGATTTTCTCCTTCCCAGTTCAATCAATTATTAATCCCTTCATTCATATAAAATACTTTTTAATCCCCTAGAATGTCAGTCACTGGCTACACCAGTGATCAAAAAAGCAAAGACAAAAACCTGCCTTCAAGACTTTTACCATCGGGGGGCGCCTGGGTGGCTCAGTGGGTTAAAGCCTCTGCCTTCAGCTCAGGTCATGATCCCAGGGCCCTGGGATCAAGCACCGCATCAGGCTCTCTGCTCAGCAGGGAGCCTGCTTCCCCCACTCTCTCTCTCTGCCTGCCTCTCTGCCTATTGTGATCTCTGTCTGTCAAATAAATAAATAAAAATCTTAAAAAAAAAAAAAAGAATTTTACCATCGGGACGCCTGGGTGGCTCAGTGGATTAAAGCCTGTGCCTTCGGCTCAGGTCATGATCCCAGGGACCTGGGATCAAGCCCCGCATGGGTCTCTCTGCTCAGCAGGGAGCCTGCTTCCCCCACTCTCTCTCTGCCTACTTCTGATCTGTCAAATAAATAAATAAATAAAATCTTAAAAAAAAAAAAAAAAAAGAATTTTACCATCTAGTGAGAGACATATGTAAATCATTCATTAAAAACTAAATCTCACATCAGGTTGTGTTTGTTCACAATAAGTAAGCAATTTGTCTAGAACTTAGATGAGGAAGCAATTAGGCAAAGTTAACCTGTGTTCTGAATTTCAAAGAATGTGTAGGATTTGCCTGAGGTGTTCTAGGTGGAAGAAAAAGAAGACCCAGAGGCAGATTTAGGAGTTGGGCCTGGGGATTTGGTGGTGGATAAAACTGGCTGCCCAGGAGGACAGGAGACAAAAGGCAGTTGGAAGAGTTAAGGGGACTTTGGGGTTTGTAACTTGGACATAGATGCATGTTAATTCCATTGGCTGAGTTTTGGAAGCAGGAGGAGGGCAGGTTGGAAATGGAAGCATTATTTGAACTGCCTATGAGATATCCAGGGAGAGAAGGGCAGCCTTTGCTCAGGTGAAAAGTTAAGATTGAAATCATGAGGAAATTAGAGTATTCCCTGATGGCTGAAGCCCCAAAGGTGAATAAAATACTCTGAAGAATATTTAATGGGTAGATGGAAGAAGAGGAGTCTGAGGGGCCTGAGAACAATCAGAGAAGGAGGAGATCAAGAAAGAGAGATGGAGGGGCGCCTGGGTGGCTCAGTGGGTTAAATCCTCTGCCTTCGGCTCAGGTCATGATCCCAGGGTCCTGGGATCAAGCCCCACATCCGGCTCTCTGCTTGGTGGGGAGTCTGCTTCCCCCCTCTCTCTCTGCCTGCCCCTCTGCCTACTTGTAATCTCTCTGTCAAATAAATAATAAAATCTTTAAAAAAAAAAAAAAAAGAAAGAGATGGAAAAAATAAGAAGAAGAAAGAAAAAAGAAGGAAGGGAGGTGAGAAGGAGGAAGAGCGATTACCTGAAAACCAAGAATTTTAATCATTTAACATTCATAGTTATTAAGACCTACTATGTGCCAGGTACTATACTACTATGCTTGGGGCTAGAGATAGAAATGAAGAAGACATATGGGGACTTATAAATGAATGGAGGATAGCATAGATATGCAAACAAATCAGTGAGAGAGAGAGAGAGACAGATCCATGATCCCCAGACAACAGAAGGACTTTCCAGAAGTGCTGCAGAGCATTCCTAGAGGATTTGGACTGAAAAGAATTTATTAAATTGAAGAGCGAGGAGGTCCTTGGTACTATTGGCAAGAGAAGTCCCTATAAAAAATGGTGGCAAAGTAAGATTAAAATGGTCTGAGAAGTAAATGGAAGGTAGTAATGAAGAGTGGGTCACTAAAAACTATTTTTTATGATTTTTGTCAGTGAATGAAAAGAGACAAAGCAGTGGCTAGAGGAGGAGGGTTGATCTGAGCTGCAGTGCTTGTTCAATATCTTAGTCTAATGGAGGACGCAAATATGCAGGCAGTGGCAGTGCAATATAACACTGAGTGCTATCTGTATATGATGGTGAATAGAGGCTGCCTTGGGAGCACATAATAACCTCTAACTAGGATAAGTAGGTTTATGGTTTTTTTTACAAAAAAGGTAGGTTTTACAAATAAAAAATGTTATGGACATTTGCACTGATGTCTGAGTAATGAGAGTGGGGGGTAGGAAGCAGTTTCCAGGAAGAAAGTACTGCATGTGCAAAGACTCAAAGGAAGAGAGACCACGTTGCAGGAGGAACTGAAAGTTGTTCAGTCTGGCTGCAACTTACAGTGGGGTGTTGTGACAGGGATCTATTAGGTAATCATTGACGTTTTAACACAGAGGAATGTGAAGGGGCCTAATTTGCATTTTATAAAGAGCTCCAGCTGGAGGAAGGGAGTCTAGTACTCTCTTTTTGATCCATGGTTTGATTAGAAAACAACTTGTATGAATTAAAGCCCAAGCAAAAAACAGACATCATACTCAAAGTGTTTAAATGAGGAAAGTTCAATGAAAGGACTCTACTGAGGACCGGGTGAGGGACCACACAGTCTGCTGGAAGCTGAAAGGAGGGAGGATAAATATCTTGACCTCTCTCACTTTCTGCCTTCTGATCTCCTGCTGGTACCTCCCATGATCTGAAGCCAGAGGGCAAAGGAACCTGGGAGATGCAGCCCATAGAGGATGACCTCACCCAGTACCTGGCATTAGTGGGTATTCAATAAATGCTGCTTGAAGTGTTCTGAATTTATGGGCCAATCCTAAGTGTATTACCTCTGAGGTAAAACAATAAAGATGGTAGACATGAGCTAAGACTACTTGTGTCAGAGATTTGGTAGTTTTGTAGTCTCTTTTGCTATGAGAAGCAAGTATTAAAGGTCTTCAACTAAAAGGAGTAGGCAAAAGAAAAAGTAACCATACCAAACAATTAGAGAATAATTATGTAAGTTAAAGTTAGGTTAAGCTACAAATAAAACTCAAACGACAGTGTCTTAAATATGTCAGAAGCTCATTTCTCTCTTAATCAAAATCAGGAGGTAAATATTCCAAAGCTAGTAGGTGAGTTCCATGGTTCTCAGGGATCTCAGCTCTGTTTTTCCATCATCCTTAACATGTGCTTTTCACCCTGCGGTCTAAGATGGCTGCTTGACTTCCAGCACAATTTCTCATTTCCAGCCAGCAAGAAGCTGGAAGGAAGAGAGGTATATCCCTCCCTTCAAAAACACTCCTGAAAGATGCAAACTCTACTTTTACTTAAATTCTATTGGTCCGTGGAATGTGAGCAGAAATAATGGCACCAATTCCAGGCCTGGCTCACAGAAACCTCCCACCCATGATCCTCCTTCTCTTCTGGTCTCTGCTGGTTGGAATTTGGTGTCAAGGGGAACTTTTGAAGTTACTTGTTGAAGATGACAGAGCCTTTAGAAGTCTGGGTCCCTAGGTGACTGTGGGCAAGAAACAAATTTTACTGTGACTTTTTGAGGTGTTTGCCTTAATAGTCAGCATTGCCTTAATACAGAAATTGTTACAGTATAGGGTGTTGTCATGCAAATCTAAAATTAGGCAAGCAATAGACAGCAAGAAAACTATTATTAGGAGCTGGAAAATGGAAACCCATGGCAAGACATTTGGTAAAAACTTTCGAGCAGTATTTGAGAAGGCAAATAAGGTAACTACAAAGCCCATAGCTCTAGAAGAGGTTGGAAAGTGAAACGTTAGTAGGTTAAATTTACTGGCTACATTTAGCAAGATACTAGAAAGATGAGATGAGCTCATGCAATAATAAGCAGATATGCAAGCATAAATGAAAAGGAATACAGAATGTACAAAAACTTGGAGCCTCAAGGGATTGGAAAAACTGACTGCTCTATACTTCAAAGAATAGGAAAGGATTGAAAGAGCTTTTGAGCAACAAGCCCCCATTAAAATTCAGCCATGCAGCAAAGGTTAGATTTAGGGTGTGGCCTTCACATTTAAGTCCGCTAGCCCTCTGAGAGAGGGAGAAGCATAGCGGTGATAAAGCAAAGAAATAAATTA